TCACCTTACACGAAATAGGGTGAATACATCTCATTACACTGATTTACTGGTAGTCTCGAAACCCTACCCTCATACAAATTATTAATCCCTTCCACCCCCTTTTAAGACGAAATGGAAGGTACGCCAGCATCATTTGTCTTCGATCAGTCGTGGCTGTTGATTTATATGAAGTCATTGGTTCATCTACTTGCAACCCCAACCCATCCGTATGCAGTCTTCGTCTGTAGCACTAAGAGGTCAAGTCGCTCTTGACGAAAGAGGTGGCGATCTCCAAGACAAGAAAGATGGCCGGATGTAACGCTACTTTCAAAAGGCCTAAATCTGTCCACTTACTCAGTCATTACATGATTTGCTTAGCTATTCCTCGCTTGCCCTAAACTGCTCACCCTATTTCAATTAAGGTGATGGAGGGTATGATATGAATAGAGCTGATGCTTCCTATTGAATTTCGCATACTATTGTGGGAAAATTAAGCTACCAGTCCTTCATCACCTTAAACAAAATAGGGTAAACACAATTCATATATCTGATTTACTCGCAGTTTCGAATACCTAATCACTCACGAAAAAAAATAGTAAACACTTCCTTGCTTAAATCCATTCCTATTTAGGACGACCTTTTGTTTTTTTGTGATAAAAAATCACAAATCCCTTCCACCAGCCTTTACACACAAAAGGAAAAGTATAAAATGAACTGACTCCCTAGGCAAAAGAATGTTGTGTAGAGGTTGGGCATAGCTTGATGACTGTGAGAGAATGGAAGGAGATGGTAGCAGAAAACCGGTAATTGGGATCGCTTGCTGGAATCGTGTAGCAAAATGTGAGAGATGCTATGATGGGATGCTGAGGGGCGAAGGAGCGATGATGTAGTGGGGTCCATCATTTTACATCACATTGTTTCTGTGGCGCAAGAGGAGCCTTCAATGACACGGTCATTTGAGAGCTTTGCTTTGGGTGAGCACCGAATTCTGAGTGCAGAGGCTCAACCAACTTGGCCAGGATACGGATACAAATGAAGGGAGGAGAAGAGGTAAAAGTGGGGTAAGTAGAAGTTTAACAACTTAGAGGCGTTGCGTAATGCTCAACATCTGTGAGAAGAGAGAGCAGGTTTCAAAAAATCGATTAGTAGATTGATGTTGGCATAACTTTTATTTTATTTGAGAAGGCGGGTAGAAGGTATGCGTAGATTTGCCGCCCCGGATACCGAAGGATGGTTGCCCTGAACTTTTATCTGTCGAATTGTGCCGAGAAGACCTCGGCTTACCGTCCTGTGACCACGATGACTCCATGCTGAGCTTTCGTCGGTCACATGATGCTCATCATCGGAGCCAGAAAGCATTATTCATAAACAAACCCCGGTTGAGCTGCTACTTACTTCTTATACCCACATTGCGATTTTAATGAGGCATTCCATGATTTGGTTGGTTGGTTTATGTTTTTTCTTCATGGATGGTAAGCGAGTCAAAGTGATGCAGGAAAAGGACAGGATGTGGTCACAACTTTTATTTTTGTAAATAATCTAGCGTATGATGATGTAATCTTGGGGCTTGTTATAGCTTCGTGAATGGATCTCCGTGTGTGTATGTAATACTCACTAGTTAGTTGGCAAGTTTAGGTACAAAAACAGACTCCAGCTTTGTCAAGTACTCTCCTCTTACTCAGTTGTTATTCCTGTCCCCTTTACTTCTCTCTCTCTCTCTCTCCCTCTTATTCTATTTACCAGCCAGAGATAGTTCCTACTTAGTTCCTCCTATTCAGAATGTTCTTTGTTTTATTAATTTTAATCGACTCCCTGATCTTCCGCTTAGCTGTGAAGTCCCCATATCCGGCAAAACGTTGGTATTAATTCCACTCTATCTGGCGTCCTGTAGTGACGACATGTTCGTCAACCTGCGATTTCTGAACGCATAAACCTTTGCAGGCGGCTCTGTGTTCTGTATGTATAAGTCGATAAGTCTCTTCCACACAAACACTACCACATGAGCACAAAACCGTATAACAACCTGATCTGCAGAGGGCATCTGAAGTTTCTCTAAAATAAGGCATGATCGAGGAAAGCGTTATTGCCATGATGCTTCATTTCCTCAGACAACCGATGTATAATAAGAATGGTGCTTTGGGGAAGTTAGCTCAATTGGGTGTTTTTTCTGCTAACTACCTTGAATGACGTGAAGTTCGGCTCCCTTGCTTCTCAAAGAATATGCTCACCTCGCCTGGACTGGACTGTCGATTAGACCTTGCTTAGGTCTCAGTGGGGCACAAACCTGGGTTGTGGTGGCGCAGCATATAGTCTCGACACGTTGCCCACAACGCCAAACGGTCACGTGTGCCATTCAAGTAAGCCCGGGTCTTTTCCATATCACATATCTGTGATGGGATTGTCGACGAAGCAAAGCTGCATTTGCTATTACAATCGACTGCATTACTTATAGTTTTAGTTATTTGTGAAATATTAAGGTTTCGAGACTACCAAAACGGCTAGCGCAAAAACAGGGTTTACCCTCTTTGATTTAAGGTGATGAAGGATTTTAGCGTATAGTCAGAATAGGGGTTTGAGTTCAAAAAGGTCACCTTTATATATGTATACATATATATATATCAACTTAAGTATAGAGTCAATGATGATATTGATAAATCTGGTAATGTAGTGTATACATTTTACCTGTAATGGTGAGCTGTGCAAATAAATATGAAGAAAAGTTGAGGAATCTCTTGTTTCATAATTGTTGGGCTTACTTCCATTTCGAGTAGAAGTGTTTGGTGAAGAGATTCGCAGGTCGGCTCCACCAGAAGACGACGGCGAATTCCTCTCGGCCAGCTGTCAATTGGCTTTACTGGAACATTCATGCTGACGCTGTTTCCGAGGCAATCTCCCTCGATTCCGGTCATATGACGGACATCATCAGAGCGAGGTAACATCGTCACAACAAAATTCAGGCTTGCGAGTCAAGAAA